CACTGGAAGAAAGATAGCCTCTTAAATAAGTGCTACTGGAAAAACTTGCTTTCTACATGCCAAAGGCTAAAACTAGACTCAGGTCTCTCACCATGTACCAAATTAAAAACAACATGGGCCAAAGATCTAAATATTAAAGCAGAAACACTAGATCTACTGGAAAAGAGAATAGGTTGAACTCCTGTATCCTAGGCACAGGAAAAACTTTATGAACCAAACTCTGATTTCATTGCAATTATTGCAAAGAATCAACAAGTGGGATCTCATCACATTAAAAAGCCTTGCACAGCAAAATAAATTACTAATAGATTAAAGAGACAACCCACATAACTGGAAAAAAAGTTTGCCAGCTATTCCTCAGACAAAAGACTAATATGTAGAATATATAAGAGCTCAACAAAATCAGACCCCCCCAAAAAAATTAAATACCCAATACAAAACTGAGCATCTGAAATGAATAGACACTTCTCAGATGAAGAGTTAGAAACAGCAAATAAACATATGAAAAAAGGTTCAACATCACTCCTCACTTAAGAGATGCAAATTAAAATAATGTTGATATTCCATCTCACTCCAGAAAGAATGGAAGCTATCAAGAAATCAACCAATAACAAATGCTAGCAGTCTGTAGGGGAAAAGGAACCCTTCTCCCCTGTTTGTGGGAGTGTAGACTGATGCAATCACTGTGAAAAGTTGTGTGCAGATTCCTCAAAAACCCAGTTATTTCCCTTCTTAGTATCTTCCTGAAAGAATGAAAAGCATCATACCACAGTAATGTATGTACATCCATGCCTATAGCAGCACAGTTTATCATAATAAATTTTGGAAACAGATTCAGATTCAACACATGAATGGATAAGGAAAATGTGGGTTTGTTTGTTTGTTTTATAGAAATAGATTCCTACTCAGCTATAAGAAGAATAAATCTGAGGCATTTCTAAGTAAATGGATGCACCCTGAGACTATACTCTTCAGTGAAATAAATTGAACACAGATGTGTAATATGCATTATTTCTCTGATGTGAGAAAATGAAAGTATAAATGAAGACCAAACTGTGTGCTAGATATTATCAAATAGGAAGATAATGCCTAAATGACAAGGGGAACATAGGAAATGGCAAGGGGAAAGGGAAAAGAAAAATTGAATAAAAAAGAAAAAATGGAAATAAAGTTTTTGTAAATGAAGAGGGGAAGAGAGGTTGAAGATAGGGTAGGAGAACAGGGAAGAAAGAATTAAATTATAACATGTACAGGTACATGTCCCCTATGATGAATGTGAGCATTATGTATATCTGAAAGGTACCAATAAGATTAATTAGCAAAAATAAAAAAGAAACTCAATCATTGTGTCTTCAGAAACACAGCTGTGAAAACTTCAAATAATTTCACCTTTATGAAGAGATTCAAGCTTTTCTCTACTAGGGGCATAGAACAGAGGGGAGGGAGAAGCTGACCACCTTAATTTAGGATTTCATTGAAAGTCTGTGAGGTCCTTTGTTCTCTAACACTGATACTATAAGAATCACCACTCAACTTTAAGATGCTTGCTTGGTATATCTGGCCTCACACAGAGCAAAGATTCAGAATCTGGCAGTTGTCTTGAAGAGGGCATTGGCGGTGTTTGAGTCAAGCGAGTCACTAATTTTAGTATCACAAACCTGGTTAAGCACCAACAATTTTGCAGGTTTGTCTGCATCCCATGTGCCAGGGGCCAATGCAGAATTCTCAACCTCTAGCTAAACCCATTCTGCCAAGAACAGCCAAGGGCAAAGAAGTCACTGTAAATCATTTCAGAGGCAATGCCTCGTTCATTTGGAAGCTTCAACTGTTACATATCCTCCTCGTAGATACTTGTTTGCTAAGTGCCATGAAAATGTGAACCATTCCCCATATTAATTTTAGGGCTTGCAATTATGTCTTGAAAAACTGTGAAATTTTAGAATTTAGTGACTGTCTTAAGGAGAAATTAGAGGTGAGGTTTTCTGTTATTTTTTCATTTATGTATTGGGAATTGAAACCAGGGATCATTGAGCCACATCTGCAGCACTTATTTTTTAATTTCAGACTGAGTCTAAGTTGCCCAAGATGGCCTGGAGACTATGATCTGGCTGCCTCATCTCCACAGTAGCTGTGATTACAGGTGTATGCCACACATACCCCCAGCTCCTACCTTCTAATTTTATCACTTCCGTCCTACAAAGCTGCCAAAAGTTCTGCTGTTCCCCACCCCCAGCATAGATCTTTCTGAGCCAAACCTAGATTTCCAACCTCTATGTAAAAAAAAAAATCATAAATACTTCCAGGCATGGTCTCAACTCTTAGGTCCCATTTGTAAGGTTTTTACATTTCTGGTAGTCCCTTTGGCCCTCACAGTTTGGCTCATCTCTGATGGCTTGTGTATATTATCTTTATAATTGACCCAGTGACTCTAATTATTTTATCTGGGAGCATAGGTTGACACTAGTTATTTCACCCCACAAGAAAAATTACATGCAAGCTTCAACTGAATCCAATGTAGATTTTAATAGGCAGAGATGAAGTATCTAAGCACTGTGAAGATTGAAGCATGTTTGCAATTTGAATAAGGAGTATGATTTTCCTTTTGGACTCTAAGATCTTTGCTATGAGTAATCACTTTAGGGCTTTTCTTACCTGTATATTTTCCTATCTGTGTGTCACCCATTGATCCATCCTTTTATCTTGCTTTCACAGCAATGTTATAGTAATAGATTATTATTAATAGGTTATTCAATAAAAATGAAATTCAGTATCTACATCTTGCCTAGCCTCACTGGCTAAAATGATTAAGCATTTTATTGCCTCCTCCACTCATCTCACTCTTCAAGGTCTGTCTTTCCTCAAGTTCTAGCTATTTTATACTGTTTCTCCAATAAACCAAATTATGTTAACTGATTAGTTTTATAATGGAACATTTTTTGCTTGACCTTAGGTTAACTAATGAATGCTACTATAGTTCTAGCATTTATTGCTTTTACATTACCAATTATTTTATAATATTTCACCAACCTACCCATTAATTTTTGTAATGATAAATTATTTGTGTTTGAAAACTACTAAAAATATTGGAAAATTTATAACAAGAGAATATATAAAATACTTTCATATCTGCATATTTAATAAAAAAATATTTTCTTCCTGAAAAGCTAAGATAGAAAGTTTGAAGAAAAATTTGCATGAGTGAAATTTAAAGAAGCAAGTGAGGAAACTAATTAAATATAAAGAGAAAACAAAGAGTTTGAATAAAGAGAAAAGATGAGGCAGCCAGAGTTCAGATCTTTCACTAATTATTCATATTTCAAAGGACAGAGCTAGCTGAAATATCCTTAGAAACTATATCCGGGCACAAGAATAGAGGCAATTTCATTTGTATTACAGGATCAATCTCATAATTTAAACTCTTAGAATTTTAGATGTAGTGCCATTTTATATACTTAGCTATGTAAAATGATAGTAATTTGTTATGTATATTAGAGTAACAAGTGCCACTGAAATAATTATTTCATATCTATTATTTAACCTTCGCAGCAACCATTTAAAATTGGTAGACTTTTTTCCATTTAGTCACAGGCCAGCAAAGTCGGGTGCGGTCACCCTATGAAACTTGCCCAAGTCACAGAGGATGGTTGCTGTCGAAGTTGTCCTGAAATCCTGGGCTACACCAGCTTTGCCCCATAGAACTTTCTGCAAGAGGGAAAAGTTGTGTAGTTGTACTGTTCAGCGCATAGCCTCCAGTCACATGTGAAGATTGAACACTTGAAAAGTGCCTCGTGGAGCTGAAGAAGTAAATTTTAAATGTCAGGTAATTTTTATCAAATAAAACTGAGATGGTCTCATGTGCGAAAAGCTCCCATTATGGGTAGTATGCCTCTGTACAGGTGGATAATACAGGACACTGAAAACATTGAGTATTCAGCAAAATGACACCAGAAACTTTTTCTTAGAGTGAATGAGCTAGAAACTCAACTCGTGACTTACTTTTTAGTAGAAACAAATATTATATATGGAATAATGTCTATACTAATTTTTATTTGTAAATTACATTTTAATTGTAAATATTTTGTATGGAATAGAGTACATAGATAAGTTGTTCTCCTCAGCTGAAGGGCAACTTGTTTTGTCTTTATTCAGGTTTGTTGTAAGGCCAGCTGGAAACACACACAGTGCCCCACACTAAGAAAGAATAGAAAGATGGGGAGAGCGGGTAACTTTATCTTTAACTGTGTTGGCAGTATGGAACTGGACTACAATTCTAGTTGAGTTCCTCCCTTCTTCTGAAGCAGGCTGAGTAAGCGGTGTGACAGCAAGCCACATTTAGTATGATTCTCGCAGGAGCCTGAGAGGTGACTCCTTTCCCCTGCATGGTCTTCTTCACTAGTGATTTTAAAGCTAATAATAATGAACAGGACTGCATGTGCATCCTCCCTAGAAAGCTTTCTCGCTTCTCTCTTATGGCCTTTTCAACCAAAAGAAGACTTGCTCTGCTTATATAATCACAAAAGCAGTGTTTTACTTTGTTTCCAGCGCAAGCTGGAAAAGTGCAGTAACATTTAACCTAACACTGCTTTGCGAAACAATCGTTTCCTCTTCCGCAGAACCTCCGTTCACTATTCTTCCAGAATAAACTGAAACTTTGCTTATTTGCTTTGCATCCATATTCTCGACTGTTAAAAGTTTTAAATAATTTAGAAAGTTCAAGTCATTCGAGAACTTTAATTCCTGCACTTCCTCTTCTGTGCGGGTTGGGTTTTACACCTTGTTCGAAAGTTCAGAGTCTGCCTCAGGATCCCGGCTGTAGAAGTTTGATTGACTGCCCACGTGTGGGACACACGTACATCAGGGGGGACACTGTGAGGAAGGGCGCCCTGCAAGACACTCTTCTGAAAGAGTGCTTGGCTCAGGCCCACCTATACAGAGCTCAGTTCCTAAAAATAGGTGCTCAGTTGGATCCTTGAGACTCATCGCTAAAATAAATTCAGCCGCCCCGTGTACTTGCTGAATAGACCTGTCCGTGGAGCTGGCCTCCACTCCACCGATTGCTTCAGGGGACTGGGAAATTTGCTGTACAGGAAACAAGGGAGGCAGCTACTCAGAGAAGAATTATAGAGGTATATGACGTTTCCGTGAACTTGGGGTAAACCTATTCCGAAAGGTATGTGCAATACTGTCACTCATGCATGTGTGCTTGCCAGGTTGTAAAATGCTTTTGCTCATCAGTGAAGATCAATGAAGGCTATAGGTCAAATTGTAATTGCTATAAAAGAAAATATTCAATTGGATTTTATAAAAGTGATGATATTCTTCATTGCTTTGTGTTTTGAAATTTAAATCTTCATACATGAAACTCTTCGCAAAAAAAGCATTTATCATCCATGATATTGAAGAATAATGAGCCCAATTTAATAAACAGTCATGGGTTAAAATTATGCAACTAACCACTAAAGGAAAACTAGAAGAAATCAGTTTGTCTATAATGGGCATAAATTGAATGAATACATTAGGAATCATAAACGGTATTTCTTGAAATTTGGTGAGGGAAAAAAGTGTGAAATATTTTCAACTGTTGCAGCTTGCTCAGAGAAATGTAGGCAAATTATTCTTTTCCAGTTTTAGTTTGATCCTGTAGCTCTCAGTCTAACCATGGGCTCATCTCCTCTGGGAGTTGTACCAGAGTAAGGATTAAAGAATCAGGTTCTTACATGTTTTGCAGAATTAAGAAAAGCACTGCCAGTTGGATCTGCCAGCCCTAATTATAGTAACTACAAACTTAAGTGGAGAAGACTGAGATTGTACTTTGAAGGTATCATGCCCTGTACACTATTTCAAATGGAGTTTTTTCTGCCTTCGATTGCCTGTGAACACCTTAATTTGGTCCCGTTGTGCCTTAAGTGTTTAGATGTTAAGAGACTGAATGATTTGGGAGAGACATTAAAACAGAATTTCCTACAACACCAGCTAAAAGCAAGGACACTTTAAGATTACATAATACAGAGTTTAAATTTAGCCAGCTGCTGCTGAACTAAAAGATATTTTATTTTAACCAGAGCTCTATTTGGTCACTGACAAGCTGTAGACTTTTTGAATTATTTCAAAATTTTATGCATGAATTACAAAAGGACAAGTAAAATAGTTACCTGAACTGCATTCAGCACCAAGAATTTTAATATGAAAGAACACCTGTTTAGGGCTTTAGAAGAGATTGCTGGTGAGTGGCTGAAAAGTTGGGGCAGAAATTAGAAAGTCCTGAATTTCATGCTTAAATATTTCTCTGTTCCTCTGCTTACTCTGAATATTTTCCCTTCTTGCTACCACCACATAAACTAACAACTAGATCTGTTTTTAAAAGTCAGCATTTCAGATATCTGCTATATGGCAATGTGCCAGCTGCTTGGGCAAAACATAATCCGGACTTTGGACGGAATGGTTCTGTTTTAAGCTAGTCTGGGGCATCTTTCAGGTACAGCTTCTCCCAACCACCTGAAAAATGAGAGTCAACATTCTTTAATGATCACAGAGGGCTTTACTTCAGAACATGTTGCTGAGGAAATGTCAGCTCTGGCTTCATGTGTCCTGTGATCACAGAGGAAAGGAGTGCTGCTTTTCTTGGAACTGCTTTGGGGTAAAATGTCCACAAAGTTCATAGATAGTTTACTGATATTTACAGAAATAACCGCCCACCATCAAGCATTCTGTCTCTCACTGCTACTTGCCACATTTGAAACATTTCTGTACACCAGAATTCTCTTTATAAGGCCTGCTGGAGAGCTCAGAGTCATGTCTAGAGTTGGCAATTTATAAAGTAGGTTAGGCACTTAATAAATGCCTGGTAATGTAATTGCAAGATTTTTGACTGACCAGTCTGTGGGGGGACAGAGCTTAATCGACAGTAAGTAGTTCTTTTATTTGCTTTCCATCCCATCTTTTGGGAGTATTCAACTTACACTTTCAAATTTAATTAAACTGTAATTTATTTTTTTCCAATTCTGCTACAAACATTCCTTCACCCGAATCACAGTTTCACTCCTTCAGGGGTGGTAATTCCAGACCTCTCTTATTCAGAAATGGTGCTGTTAGAACTGGGTTATTTCATAAAGGCGCAGTGTTTTTATAGAACGGTGTGAAATTTTGTATTGTCAGTTTTGTAACATTACCGCTAACATCAAATGGTGTGTCTTTTCCACAAACAAGTACTTCTCCCTCTTTCCTTATCTCCCCCATCCTCCATCCCTGGAGGTTTTTAGTTAACGTTAGGACATCTCACATTTTTGTTACGGTTGTTGCTATCAACACTGAACCAGAAACTCAGCAAAATCTCTCATTTAGAGACATCGGTAGGGGAACCTGGTCAATAGTCATTCTTCCTTTCTCAGGGTAGGAGGCAGGCTGGAAGTTCTCATCCACTTGTCTCTGTTTACTTCTCCTTCACTTTACATCTTCCCACCCCGAGTCATGGGCCGTACCGTGAGAATATATAAGACACCATCCCTCCAGAAACTCTAGTGCTTCTGCACCAGGAGCTGGGGAGAAGGACCAAGTATTTATTTTCCAGTAATCTTTAAAAAAAAACCTATGAATATATTAAATTTTTCACATTGTTTTCTAAAACATTGAGATTTATCTCTTGAAAATTTAACTAGTGTATTTTCACTTGTATGACATAATCAGTAAAAGCATAAACAGTAGCACCAATTAGGCAATAAAAAGCAAGATTGTATTTCCTTCAAACAAGATCAACAGATTCAGTCAGTTATTTTTATTAGTTTTGATACATCAAATGTTATGGGTCTATCTACAATGATCCTTAGGACTTAGTAGGACTAAATAATGGTAAAAAAAAAATAAACTGGCAGTGAGCAGCACAGTAGTAAGTCCAAATTCCTCATGGAGTACTGTACTTCTTAAAATATAAAATTCTACCATGGATTAAAGGAATTAACACAAAGAACATCAGTGCCTAGTTGGTTTAAGTTCTGTGAGCTCCAGATTAAGTACACAGAAGCATCAGAACACCAATTAATAACTCACATAAGCTTTAAGTGCAGAGAGTCAAAATCAGCTCTGGACATCTCAGGGATAACATCCACATGTTATCCTTCAAGTCTTTGTACCTTAGCATCAACCCCACCTCCCCACTCCCAAAGACTTGGGATATAGTTTGAGGTGCATCTTGATAAAGCCTTATTTTTCAAATAGCAGCCTTTGGTTTCTTTTTAATTTGCTTTCATGTTTCCTTAAAACGAGATTTCCGGGGCTGGGGATTTAGCTCAGCGGCAAAAACGCCTGCCTGGCAAGTGCAAGGTCCTGAGTTCGGTTCCGGGTACCGGAGAAAAACCAAAAACCAAAAAAAAAAAAAAAAAAAAAAAACGATTTCCTTAAAATAAGGACAAACTGTGTGTAATGAAACATGCTCCATATAATCTGTTATAATTCAAAAAAAAGATTGATTCACTTTTATTTTTACTGAACACTTGTGTTTATCTTCTCTGTCAAAGGGGATACCCCTGCCCCAATAATCCCCACTGTCTTATCATTGGACAGCTCAGTTTTCATGGACATTTTTGGCAGGCGTTCAAGTAAATCTTTGCCTTTTGTATTTTTCTAATTGTATGCAAGATAATTAGTTGTCTAGAGCCAAATGCATTAGATATGTCTGACTCTTCAAAAGTAATTAATTCCCAAGTTGTTCCAGACATGTGTATGATTTCAAATAAATATAATACTGAAGTATTCAGTTTTGGAAGTTTTTGCAGTTTCTCTGCAGTCAAATACTCAATGGCATCTTCTCCCAAAATCAGAAGATATCACATGTGTAACCCCTAAATGAATTAAGTAGATACTTACCAACACAGAAAAGACACAAAAATTTATGAGTCACATAAGTTCAACATTATAAAAGGTTTTAAATCATGTACCAGTTCTTTTCATAAATTCAGTAAATATGGACTGAATGAAAAATACAGTTCAAATGATGTTATTTTTATTTTGAACTAATAGGAATTTAAGTGTATTAAAATAAATTGCAGGTGGACCTCACCTGTGATGACTTCATATTAGAAATGATCAATTTATCAAATCAGAAATTATCTCACTTTCTAAGTATTTCTTCTTTTTTTCCCTGATTTCTATGAAAATTCTCTGGAATATTTTCTTTTACCCAAGATCTATAACCATCTGTGGAATATACAAAGTGTCCTCAGTTGGCCAGAATTATCAAAATATTACCTCTGCTTAAAAAATGTGACTTTTTAAAAGTTATGCATGTTGAATTTTGATAAGCAGAGTCACACTTAAAGCATTTAGTTGCACTATAAATTCATGGGTGATTTATCAATATCTCTGCTGGGTTTTTGTTTGTTTTTAGTCAGAACTGTCGTAATAAGAATTCAGACATGTTATCTAACAGTAAGCCATTTAGATAGATAATCAGAAGTTTGTAAACAACTATAGTAATTAAGTGCTCCAGGGAAACAGTGAAAAATCTATTTGTAAAGTTAAGGATTGCTCATTGATTTATCTGATTTTTATGTTGGAGCTTTTGAGTTTCTACTCACGGATTACATCATCAAGTAAGAATACTCTGGGAAAGTGAAAAACTAAATTGCATTTATTCATATGAGTAAAGGTTGCCGGTTCTAGCTGCAAACTTTATATAAAAGGGACTGTGCTTCAGTTGCATCTAGAGCCACTTTCCCGGGCACATGTAGGGTAGAAGGTAGCTGCTTTGCTACTAAGATAAAGTCTAGAAGCTATTGCCAGTTGGATCTCAGGGGACAGAGCAAGGGATGCACAGAGGAAAGCCAATGACAGCGACCAGCAATTCGATCATCTCCTTCTCTTCTCTGCGTCATTCTGGGGTGCTCAAAGAGGAACAGGACTTCGTTAGGATCTTGACATCTTTAGTAGGAACTATGTTAGACCTCTGAGACCTGGAGGCCTCAGAAACATTTATTTTTAGGAATGAAACTGTACTAGGTCATGTCTGCTTTCAGTCACTGACTCATTCTAGAATAGAAATAATTTCAAGATTCATCATCTCTCCATCACTGAGAGCTGGACAACAGCCACACTTTTCATCTGTGAAATTTCAGAGCAATGCAATCTGGTAGGCATGTGTTTGTGCCTAATTTGCACCCCTTTATTTCACAAAATATC